ATTTTATGTATTTCATAAATATCTAGGGATTTTAGGTAAAGTAAAATTTTATGTTTTATTTTTCACAGGACAATTCTCATGTTGTGCGGTATTACCCACCTTCTGTCTCCTCTCCATCAATCATTTCAGAAATCATACTCTTCCTGCTAAATGAGGACCAAGAAAAGTAATCAAGTCAATCATCACTGATGCAGATAAAGCAAAGTTCTTCATATTAAACCCCTCATCTCAGCAGCTTAAAGTCAGCTATTGTTCACCATTAAATCTTCCTGGATCTACAATCACATCATGTCTGATCGTCGACCTCATCACTGTCAACTAAAGTACTCTATAAAATCTTTTTAATTTCAAACCATGCTTCACTGCAAAAACTAGCACTGACTTGAATAGAGGTGAGAATACTAGGTGTGGCCATCAGGTGATATCAGATATCTGAGTAGAAGGAGGTATAGTTTAACTTGTCTGTACTTTGTTTAGTTTGAGCAGTGCACATTACTTGGCAGAAACATCTAGTTGAGCGAGCAGGTCTTCTCTCTTTTTAGGATCGAGTGGGTTGAAGGCAGTCTCCACGAGGACCACCCTAGACACAAGATCAAAGAAACAGGATTTTATACATGATCATATTTGTAATCCTATTTCTCCATTTAGTTTGACCTTGTAAAAAATGCAAAAATGATCATTTATGTTCAGTTTACAGCTACAAAATATATTATGATACTGTAATCAACAAGGAGTTCTTGAAGGTAATATTTGGTAGATTAAAGTTAAGCAAAATCCATCATTGGCTTCATTATATTTGGGCTGTCATCTCAAAGAGACAAATCAAATGAGGGAAATGCATTTAAGGATAGCACTTTTAAGGTTAACATTATATTATCTATTGGTTAATATGGCATTTAGTTCAGTCGTATTATATTGACAGTTTCCTTGTCCTGAAAACACCCCCACTGAGTACCTCTGCCTATCACCACTCTTTGGCGTATCTTTTAGAAATATCCATTTACGCTATTTAAGCTTAGCATCCCTTCTTTTAAATAGACTGTTATACAATTTAATCTGACGTTACTGACCTGAAATGAGCTTCTTTGTTAAACGTGTTTGTTACTGGCACTTCTATCGTTTTCAGTTGATAACATGGGGAAGAGCAGTGAACCACATGCTGAAAAGTGGAAACTCAGTCAGAAACCATGTTGGCTAACACCAGTGGTGAGCAGGTAGAGGTGCAGTCTGATCTGTGTTGAGCTGTACTCACTGTTGGCTTGATTTGACTGACACGTGTCTTAAGATTGAAAGCGAGAGCTGAGCAGTGAAAGCCAGCACTAGAGCTGGGGACGAGCAGGAGAACTGCTTCCATTGGGTGCAGGAAGCTGCAGCTGACCTGGACAGTTAGTTCAATGCTTGACCTGGAAAAAAAAACAGGCAATAGCAGAAAAATCTAGTATTTTATTATATATGGGGGGGGGGAAAGGTTTCAAAGTCTTTGATTTTACTTTCAAGCTCCAGTTTCTAAGTTGAGACTTTGAGGAATCAGCAGACACAATGTTCAATCAGATGACCACTCAGAACCTTTTTATCCTTAAGTTATCAGAGGCTATGTTTCTGCAGAATAAAAGGATTCTCAGTGACAGAGAATCTTTGATGGTTTGGACCTTTATTTATCCCTGCTAACCATAAAATTCCAGTTGAGAAAGAACTGAATGAGTGGTAGCAGCTATGTTATAAGGAATCCTGATCCCCATATTTCCATGACAGGACACAGAGATCCTTGCAGAGAACCTTGCTCAGACGATGAGGGGTAGCTACTTTGACTTTGACAAATCTGATGAACGTGCTTTGAGATGCCCATTCACCAGAAGACATAGCAGCACA